ATATGCAAAAAAGTCCATTAACCGGCAGTCGACTTCTGATTTCAAACTACCATGACCTCACTGTATGTCATATTCAACCACTTTCACATTACTAATCTTTCCTTTTATCCGCCTTTTTGACTGTCTGCGCTTTTACATCTGTGAATCGCTCTTCTGTTCCTCCTCTCGACTGTTAATCACTTTGATGTTCCTCTTCCCCTCTGTGAAGCCTGAAGTCAACTAAAGGGCTAATGACAACCATCAAAACGCCTGCCATTTGATATAAATAAATAAATAAACATTTGATATTTTAAAATTCTCTACTTTTCACTAGCTGCAGAAGAATTAATCGAAGTTTGTTGACCTTAGCCTCCAACCTATGTGCGTTTTAATATATTTTAAATTTAGAAAAAAATTCACTCTCACCCACCAATCACTTCTCTTTACGTATTTCACCATATATGGGCGCATCGTGATATTGGGAGTCGTGAGTCATACTGCCGGTCGTTATCACTCTGGGACCAGAATTGCACAAAAATGAACGTATTCGTTGTGTGCGTATGCTCCTAACTTAATTCATAAGCACGACAACTTGTTAAGCAGCTTTTGGGATAATTTCGCAGCTTGAATGCGAATTTAGGAAATTTAGGGCCTAAGTGAAGTTCCGTTTTTGCATTTTGCGCCGAAGGAAGAAATGACCTGGATTTTCATGTCCATAGGGGCTGCTTTCAGCATGGGCTCCATTCTTTCTATTATCGAAATCTCACATCGCTTTGGCAAATCGTGTTCTTTAGTAAAATAACGTTAAATTAATATTAAAACGAAATGGCTCTGATTAAACAATCTTGTGGTGGCATTTCTTCTCTTTCGAAGATATGACTGGATCAAATTTTTAGGTCTTCTTCTTTAACGCCCTTAGGACTGTACGGCCCTCTTTCAAAATAAACTCCATCAATACTAGACTCGTATCAAATGGCACTAGTACCACTTGAAACACGTTTAGTACGTCTATAGCCTCACCTGATACCACCAAAACTCATTACGCCGGCATCAATCTGCTATATAACACGCGTGAATGTGGTTGGATGCATTTTCAAAAATTATTCGGGCGTTAAATGATTAACGGTAAACTAAGACACTTAGCTTGGTCTTTCGCAGTACCTCAGTGAAGAAGGTCTTCCATAACTTTCCATTCCCGATGAGAGTGTTCTTCCTAGGTCCAATCAACTAATCTCACAAGCTACTGAGGGCAAATGTGCTCCTTTTGCCAAAGAATACTGAAGACATATTAAAAGGCTAGCCATAAACTTGAGTTTCCTAGTTAACCTATAGAGTTTGCACTCCTTCACTCCTCCACACAGTATGACCAAAACAATAGGCTTTCTACACACCATGTTTAGGTCAGTACATAAAGGTCGTTCTTCTTTTGTGCCAATATGACACAGCTGTGTCTCCACTTGCTCTTTCAAATAATTAACGGCAATTCAATTAGTCAAAAGCAGGCCATTCTATTAATACTGGCATATGCGTTATCTTACGATACTGTTAACAGTATGCCAATTCACTGTATGCGAATGGTTGCAAATACCCCTCCCAAGTTTATCCTCTTCTGAGCGCAGATAAGATTGCAAGTATTTCCAGGCATTTCAATCATGCACACTTTGATTACAAAGTACAGAAAACAGGGTTACTTTTCTTTAATTTTTCCTTGCTATTTTATGTAAGTGCGTGAGCACGCCCCCCCCCCCCCCCCCCCTCCCATGGAAGGCAAAATGGATTCGATTTCTCAGTTGGTTACTTCTAACCACTTTTTGCTTAAAGCATAATATAATCTAATAGGAGTCGGTTTGATTGATTATTGAATTTCGGGAAAATAATTAGTATGGTAAAATCGTATTACTTATTTGCGTCATTAAGTAGTTTTGTAAAGTAGGGGCTATTTTAAGATGGCGCAGTGGTGGGAAACCAAGTTCTACGTCCTTGGTGTACCTGCCCTCTAAATACTGCTAGGCAACACATTTGACATCGATCCTGAGGGCGAGATCTAAGATGGAGTGCTGTGGGCTACCTGCCTCTTAGAGGAAGGCTCGAAACCTTGCCTGGCCAAAGGGGAGCACACGTCGAAACGCAGAACCGATCAATTAAGAATATCTGAATTCTACGTATCCACAGACCAAGTTAGGTCGCATAAATAATCTGTCCCTATCGTTTGAGGTGAAACTAGATGGACATGGAGCAATCTGTGCTCTTTCATATGCACTCATGTTACCCCAGTGAAGATCGACTTAGAAGACTATACCTACAGCACTCCATTAACTAAATTAAGACTTGAAATGCAAATACAGGTTGGGTTCATAATTCTTGACGTTTGGGGATCAAAACACAGGTGTATTGATAGAAGTTAATGTTCGAAGAACTGTGATATGAATAATGGGTAGCTTGGAAATAACCTGTGGATATCGATAATCCCGAGACAAAGCAACGACTCTGTAGTTTCGAGCTGTATTCATTGACGTGATAATCAGCAATTGAAGGATTAATAACTCTTATTACTGAACTTTCAGGTGAAAATTTTTCCAGCTTTAGGATTAAACGTTACTATTGAATTTAATGGATTGTAAATAGACTTTTTTACAAACATCATTATCTACTACAAGGACTATCTGATTCTATTATGGCGTGGTTGAAATTCGATTTTCATAATTGAATTCTAAGGAGAATGAGAATTGGCCATGTGTATTTAAGTTAATTATACCTTCAACGCGATTTAGTGCTCTTAGTCACAGGTATTCTCGTTTACACCTCTTGTCTATTGACCTAGGAATTAGTTGGAAGGAATGAACTGTTAGATAGTCTTAAATGTTACCTATTCAATAAAATACGCATCCATAGTTGGCGAATTAGAAGTCGCGAAAATTGACGTTCTTTTGATGAGAGTGTAATTCATAACTTAGGTTGCACCCTTCTGAAAAGCTATGCTTCAACATAGAGAGATTGACTTCGTATCAAAGGTTGAATACATTGAGCAGACTTCCCTGTTAAATTTGAGACCATGATATACTGAACATATTTTTATAGAAAAAAACTTAGGGGGCATTTTGAAGAGAATAATTTACTATTTTACTTGGTTTATTTTTGTTTTTGACACTTTTTTTGTATTCTGGTGCACCTTATTTTGAAAGGTGCACTGTTTAAAATTCGAATGCTGGCAAATGCATGCAGGGGAAACAGTCTTGGGAAAAATAATTGATTTTGGAGTATTCAAATTTCATGCCATATATTATCAAATTAATCTCGTTTAAGCATATTGATTAAAATTTAACAGTGAAGTTCGTAAGTGGATATACATGTTTTATGCATCATAACTCGACATGACTAAATATATTGAATAGCTAATCTTCTCCAACTTTGCACTGCTTGACTCTATGCCCTTAAAACTAGGCGAAAAATGTTCCCGTCATATTTTTCATACGACCAAAAAGCCGTTTCGAGGCATGATCTTCAGCTATCCCTTATAAGGTCATCACCTTTTCGCAATTGCCACTTTGAACTGTCCTTATTATCTCCGAGTTCACTTATTGAGGATGTGAGCAATAGACTTACCTCTACGTGGTGCACCCTGGGCAATGTATTCTCATACGGCAAAAACGGTCTTTAAGCAGGTAGTTTACTTCTCACTTCAAACTACCATCACCCCACTCTATGTCATATTCCATTACTTCCACAGTACTCACCTCACCTTTGCTCTACCTATTTCTCACTTCAAACTACCATCACCCCACTGTATGTCATATACCTCTGACTTCAAACTACCATCACCCCACTGTATGTCATATTTCACCACTTCCACAGTACTCACCTCGCCTTTTTTCTACCTTAGTTACTTCCACAGTACTCACCTCACCTTTGCTCTACCTTTGTGTCTGCCTCTTTTACATCTTTGAAACACCCTTCTCTTCCCTTCCCTCCCCCCTCTCGACTTTATGTCACTTTGATGTTCCTTCCGCTCTGTGAAGCCAGAAGTCAACTAAAGGGCTAATGATATCTATCATAACGCCTGGAAGTCAACTAAAGGGCTAATGATATCTATCATAACGCCTGCAATTTGATATAAATAAATACAACCTATTGAGGGGGTGGGGAGAGGATCCCAATTTTTTAAACTTAACTTCACCAAGTGGGAATGGCAAACCTGCTGCAATCTGCCAATATTTCCCATTTCTGAAAAGAACACTACTTTGAACTTTTCACAGTGTCTACGGGGCCGACACCTTTTTATATTTATATTTTGCCGAGGAAAAAAACTCTTCATTTACCATAAAAGAGTTGGCTGTATTTTCATCAATGAAATTAGCTTACGTCCTGCCAACGCAAATATAGTTACTCCATCTTTATCCAAAATGCAAAAAAAACCTCGGGTAAATGAGACATCATCCTCATCATCATCATCATCTTTGTTTTATCGATCGCATTAAGTTAGATGTAAGTTAAGTTAAAAGTCTAGCCAAGTAAATAAGGAATAAGCTCGTGTTATCCTCCCCTCACCCCAAATATTGAAAAATTCCCCATCTTTGATTTACTCTTATCGTTTTAATTTGTATCTTGTTTAAATATCCTAACTTTATGCCATCATTATTTTAACATTTCAACCGGTTCCATTTGGAATCACACCATGAATATTTAAATATTATATATTTACTTGATGAGTTAACTTTACCCAAACCAAAACCTCACTTTTGTGTGCAATTTAAGAACATTGTGAACAGAGTTTCATGCACTGGTCCAATTTCCTCTTAAGAAAGGCGATTTCATCGGCAACTGTCCACCTATTCTCACATTCCCCATAGTCCCTTGAATATTCATCAAGAAGCATAAGTCTTTCCAACCTGGAAGCTTCATCGTCATCATAATCCATACTGAGAGTTTCAGTCATCTTGCCGATTTCCTTAACAACATCATCCATCATTACAAAGATTCCTTCCAGCTGTTGATTCTTGATATACTCGAGTGGTTCAGCAGAATCACTTGACAGAGCTTGTGCTCTCTTTGTCATATCTGTAAGCTGAGAGAGTCTATCAGGCACTGACTTATAGAAATTGAAAGTATCATAATCACTCATTTCTTCAACTTCCTTAAGTTCGGATTCGAGGTACTCCAACGTGCCATCAATAATGGCCATTGTAAACTTGAACTCGGTGGAATTACGTGTCTTAGGACTGGGAATAGAGAAGTTCGAACTGGCCAAGAGATTATATGCCATTCTATTCAAAACAGTGAAGGATGTGATTTCTTTTGCAAGCTCACTATATTTCACTTCATTGGGTTCTCTTCTTTGAGGTCGTTCAATGTAATCATATTTCGGCTGTCTCGCTTCATTGCCATTTACGGTTTGATCACGCGTATCAGAGTTCTCCTTCTGAATGCTAGGATATCTGTAGGGTAGGTTTCGATAATTGCTACTGAAATCTTTAGAATGTCGATCAACCGTTGAGTAGGTATTTCTCCTATAATCTTCGTGATCTTCATTGTACCAGTAAGGATTGGAGGCTCTAGAAAGACCTGGGAACCTTCTTCCGCCAAATGGTTGACGTGAAAATCGATTTTCTGACTCAGAAATATCATAGTCTGACCAACGATTTCTGTGATAGGTTGGACTTCTGTGAGTTCGAAGAACTCCGGGCCGGTTAGAATAATCATCGAATCGGTTCCTTGATGGGGTCCCAAATCGCCTTCTTGAAGGGATTCTGTGAAGATTTCTATCTTTCCATTCACTTTTGTCCTTGAACTGCTCAATTTTATTCTGAATTTTCAGGATAGAAGGCTCAGACTCCCTCTCATTTTCAATATAGCTTGTTTGTACGACCGGGTTGGGTGAGATATCCTCCTGATTTCTTTTCCCAGTTATTGAAGGATCTCCTAGACGTTCTTCATGAGGTGGAGTCTCAGGTTCAGTGATTATGCCTGAAAGGAAGTTCTCAAAATGCTTTTGAATTTTTGTCGCTGCTTCCGCTCTTTCAGATTCCGTTAATTCCCCTGAGTTAGCTGCGTCAATGTCTATTTTGGTTGTTGTGAGGGGTTGTGGTTTCGGTTTCGACGCTTCTTTGATCTTTTTCTCCAATCGCTGAGCATTCTGGTGATAGCAAAAGAAGGTTAGTGCTTAATAAGATGAAAAGAGAGCAAAGAGCGAGAGATAGAGAGAAGCGTAACTAGAGGCGGTAGCTTGCACGCGTGACCAACATCTGCCTTATTAGGACTCTACGACGCATTTAGAGGGTACATGTGATCAAATAGGCTACAGCTCTGTCACAGCAAAACAAATGTGACGCCCTGAGAAATCTACCTCACGAAAATTCCATAAATTATGTCTTTTCCTTTTCTTGTTTATAAGTTTGTAGAGCTCTATTGGTCACTCATATTTGAAGTAATTAAACAAATGTTTTTTTTACATACTTGGTGTCAATAATTTATAACACATTGTGGGGTTTCAATGCATATAAATTTACCGAACTAGCACACAAACTACGATAAGATGGTCTAAAATTAGTTAATATTATCTTTTTTTATAATTTTGGAAAAGAGCCCCAAATGATAATTGAAATAAGAATTTACGAAACAAGTGTGATTGGCCGAATTTTACTTAACTAATAGAGTAGCCTTAAAATAGTGCACATGAATTAATACGTGCTTCTATAATTTGAATTAAGGGGTGTGAGATAGACTTACCTTCATGTGGTGCACCCTGGGCAATGTATACTCATACACCAAAAAAGTCTATTAACCGGCAGTCAAATTCTGACTGCAAACTACCATGACCCCACTGTATGTCATATTCGACCCCTTTCACAGTACTCACCTCACCTTTTCCCCGCCTTTTGTCTGTCTGTCTATTTACATCTGTAAATCTCACTTCTGTCCCCCTCTTGAATTTTTCTCACTTTGAGGCTTCTCCCCTCTGTGAAGTTCGAAGTCAACTAAAGGGCTAATGATAACTATCAAAACGCCTACCATTTGAAATAAATAAATAAACTTTTAAAACATCATATCATACAAATATGAACTGTCTGCATTAAGTGAAAGACGGAAATAAAACAGTAAACCTCCTACAATGCCATTTTCCCCGTTTTAACCTCAGCTCTTATTGGCCCATACAAAAGTTCGAAAGTTCATTCCTAGCTTACTATGATTGGAGAATTCCAACTCTTTCACTACTACGTCAAGCATAAGGTCTAAAAATATTATAGTTTTATTGACGTATAGCTTGGTCCTTGATTAGTGCGTTAAGATCTCTAATTTGCAATTAAGATTTATAATATATATTAATAAGTAATTAATAGGGAAAA